TCCAGAATATCCTTAAAAAAACCCACAACGCTCCGCTTTTCTTGACCTTTAACAAGCTCTTCTATTTTTCCCGCCGTAAAACAGAGATTATTACAAAGACAGAAACACAAAGTCAGCCATCTGTGCTATTAAAATGAAAAAGCATTAACAGAAATTATTAATGATTCGTCTAAACTGAATTTTCCAACATCTGAAGGGAAATTTGATCAAATATTCGACTCGAAACCCAAAATGAATTTCCAACAAACTTATTTTGTCAGAGTCATAGAAAAAAATATATTAAATATACAAAATAAAAAATATGCCAAGTTAGTTTAAAGTTCCTTTAGTAAAGTCAGAGTAAGTTAGGGTTGGTCCTGTACCTCTACCTCCGTTCACCAATAAATACCAATAAAAAAACTTTTTTATTGATTATTTCGTTATGATTTATTTATTTTTCCATCTTTCTTATAGAAGTCATTTGTTTTCTTGCGATGTGTAATTATCTGCAGTATTTATAAAGGAGTTATCGTAGGTTTTTGGAACGAATTCTAGGAATTACAGTGTATTCTGATGGAATATTTGAAACAACATACCAATATTCAACAGAGGAAATGGGTCCTTGAATGGATTAAATTCCTATGTAGAGGTTCTATATTGTGATAATAGAAAAACATTTCTGTTAGTGCTTTTTAATCTTAATTCTGGTAGAGAAATGCTTCCATATACACAGCTGTGCTTTACGATGCTATTTCCCTGAACTGAAACACTTCATTATCACTTACTTAATCACTAACTTATGAGCTTTAACTCAGCTTTTGAACCCCTGAAACACTCACTTTTTCAGCGTCTCTCTGAGGTTCTTGAACCTCCCCTCTGAGGAAACCGTCTTCTGCAGCCGGTCCATCAGCGCCTTGGTCTGGAGACACACCCAAAACAAACAAAAACAAAAGGTTTCACTTTCTGGGGGAGGGGGCGGGGCCTGTGGAGCCGGGGGTCTGGGGGTCTGGTGGTCTGGGGGTCTAAGGGTCTGTGGAGTTTTGTAGCTTTTAAAGCTGTTTTTGGGTCTTTAAAGGTGTTTTTTTGGCATTAAATGTGTTTTTGGGGCTTTTAAGCTGTTTTTTGGAAACAAAAAACGGAGTTCTGGGGGTCCTGGTCTCTGGGTCTCTGGGTCTGTAGGTCTCTGGGGGTCCTGGTCTCTGGGTCCGGACCTGCTCGCAGACTTTGGCCCAGGTCTTCTTGAGCCCCTTCTGGGTCCTACAGACTCATTCTGGGTCCTACAGACTCATTATGGGTCCTTCTGGGTCCTACAGGCTCATTCTGGGTCCTTCTGGGTCCTACAGACTCATTATGGGTCCTACAGACTCATTCTGGCTCATTCTGGGTCCTACAGGCTCATTCTGGCTCATTCTGGGTCCTACAGGCTCATTCTGGGTCCTACAG